CCAATAAACATTTGTAAGGACATGGCAGTTACTGTCAATTTACAGCAGTTACACAGTGATTAGTAATAAACAGAGCCAGTGAGACTGAGTGCATTTAAGAAAGTCAGTGACTCAGGTGTGTCGGTTGGTTTGTCATCAGCCAACTTGACGGAAATCCTTTGGTGCAACCGTAAGAGAGAGATGTGCATAAACAAATACACCCAAACTTCAATAAACTGAAGAAGCACTGTAAAGAAGAGTGGGCCGAAATTCCTCCACAGTGATGTGAAACAGTAATGAAATCATACAAAAAACCACTGCTTCAACTTACTGCTGCTAAAGGTGCTGAAAGTTTCTCTGTGCTGCTGTTTTTCAGGAGTCACTTGGGGAACATTTTTCAGGACCAAAGATCTTGACTTTCAGCCATGTTATCTATGATAGAGATGCAAAATCTATAGATTTTGCTGGCTAAACCTGAACAATCAAATCAAATGTTCAAATTGTAAATTTGGTGACAGGTTAACAGAAAGCTTGAAACATTTATTCTGACAGGGAATCCGTGTCTGAGATTTGAATGTTTAACCTTAAAGGGCTGTTTTCATATGGAGGCAACTGGACTGTGAAGCATTGAGTTTCATTTTTGGTTAGTGCATCATCATAATTATTCTGGCACCAAGCAGCGATGTGACTTGTGGACTACTGCAGGCAAAAAATAAAACTTCCGGGCCTTCTTTCAAAGTAAAAGTAGTTGTGGGAACCTGCCAAATGTTTTGTTTCCATCAGCATTTTAAAAAGCTAAAATAAATAAATGAATAAAAAGAGTGGGTGGTGGGCTGAATGAATGATAAAACCACTCTGTGAAGACAAAACAAAGCTATAATAAATGACCACGTGCACAGACATGCACACAAAAACTGCGTGACTCCTTATTGGCTGTAACTCACCGCGCGTGATCACCTGTAATGTTCTTTAAAGCAAGAGGTCCAGGTGCTATTCTTTTTATTTTAATCTTGAAAGCACCAGTTTCTGGATCAGCACCCTAAGTAGAATGATCAGACTTTCAATAACGAAAGAAAGTATCTGTCTGATATAATCTATAGCAGACAATGGTTCCCATGCGTATATGGTGCAATTCCTGGGCCTGCAGTCACTGCACCTGCCCAAAGTCCAAGCTGAAGCCCCCCAAAAAAGCCAAAGGTAGGCTGTAACATTACCTTCCTTTAACTCTTTGACTTGTATTGAGTTGCAGAACATTTTTATTCCATGCCTGTGAAAAAAAAAAAAAGACTCTTCAGTGAGGAATACATAGCTTTGCAACAGGCAGCAGGTTTACTAAAAAACAATGATATGGTCTTTTTTTACCTTAAGGCATGAGTCACCATTTTTGTAAATCATGCAATGCCAGCTGATGGGCTGCATCATCAGCAGTTTTGGCTTGTGTAAAAGTTACAGTATCATGAGCATACATATGAAGTGCCAGATCTTTATTGGATGACCACTTAATTTCAGAATTTAAGAAACAATGCATGTGACTTTGGCCTGATATAAGCTTGGCATCCTTTCATCTCTCAAGCCTTTTTGTTAATTATGCCTTACTAAAAATGCGTACAACAGAGAAACAGCAGGGTTAAATGTAGTGTTAGGCACTTTGTTTTAGAAGGAGGTGGGCGGATCAAGACAAATATTGATAGCATCAATACCAACATTGGCATTGTATCAGATTGATACAAGTGTGAGAGGATCAGTACTTTGATTACTTTCACTAGAGAGAGGCACATTTACAGTCCAACTATCCATCTTCTTCCACTTATCCAGAGCTGGGTCGCGGGGGAGAGGTCTAAGCAGAGAAGCCCAGGCCTCCCTATCCCCAGGCACCTCCTCCAGCTTGTCTGCGGGAACACCAAGACGTTCACAGGCCAGCCGAGAGATATAATCTCTCCAGCGTGTCCTGGGTCTGCCCCATTTGCATCCCTGTCTCCAAAATACCCATTTTTAAGATACATGAAAATCTGTGATTTAATCAAATGTGTTCAGAATTTGCAAACTAATGATGATCTGATAAATCACAACACACTGCTCTCTCCTACATAATCGGTGTAAAGTATCAGAATCAGCATTGGAAATACTGGCCCTGTGTTGAATTGGTATCGGATCAATGCTGCAGTATTGCTCTGCACTAATTTCAGACACTGGATGAGCCAAGAGGGAGCACAAAGGCCAGTATAGGAGAAATGAGGAATATTGTCAGTCAGGCCAAGGCTTTGTAGTACAGTTCAGGGATAAAAATATGGAACTAGAAATGAACACAATGGGTCCACTTTAATATGATCCCAACAAACACATTTCATGTTTTAATCCCTTTAAATAAACTTTCACGAATCATCATGTACAATCAGAGGCAGACACAGACTGAAGCAAAAGATTTTTTTTTTTAATTCCAAGTGAATCTTGACATGGTACACCATCATTTCATAATTTGACACTCACCAATAAGAGTCACCAAGAAGGAACCCGCTTTTTGTGACAAAGTATATACGGCTTGGTCACACTGAAACTCACTGAGAACTAGAGGAGGGGCGAGGGGCAGGAAAACGACTGCAAACTGGTAAGACACACATAATTACAACCAAACAATTATCATTTCCCCAGTCCTCAAATTGATGTATATTGCACAGTGCAGTTGCTACATGTCACACAAGTGTAGCATTTAAGATAAAAAATAAAACCAAAATGAAAAATCAAAGCCACACAAATCTACACATTTAGAACAGTAACAGATTCAATTTAGCAATCATGTCTACATAATTGTGTCCAAGTACAACAAATGTTTACCCGATAATTTCATAGGTGCCATACAAAAATTCATGTGTTCACACTGCTTATTTTTCAGTCCATATGAGACATTGAGAGGATGTTTGGTAGCTTTGATATAGCGCCAATAACGGCAGGCCTGGGGGTCCAAATTTTAGTGTTAAGAGTGGAGCCATTTTTGGATTATTGCTTTTTTGGTTTTGTTTTTCATATGAGGGACTCGTTAGTTACAATGACTATAGGAGGAACTCTGTCACAGAAATTTCAGCTTTCCCCTTGTGTTTTATTGGTGTCCGAGCAGTCCTCAGGCCTGTTCGAGGATGCTGAGCACCAAGTGCTTTTGGATCCTGGGCTGTGCAACCCCTCTAGTGCCTTTGAGATTGAGATTGTTAACCTCAAATGGAGGGGG